GGAATAAAGTCTTATCTCTACTACTATTAAAAAAGCAAACATGAGTTTTCCTATAGACACACCGTGAAGTACACACAGAGAAACCACGAACGTCCGATCTAGCAGGCTAAATCACATCCAACTGCCCACGTTACATCGATGAGTTCAACGGTTGGGATGAAATGTTCTGCCAGCAGACCTACCCTCTCATGTCATGCCAGACAACCCAACCCCCACGATCTCTACATCGCAGGAGCAAATTTCAAGCAGTTTCCTTTTTCTATTGACGGTGATTAACTGATGATCCTGCATGCAAGGAAATCAATTAAAGCCCCTTCAAAAAAATCAATTAAAGCCTTGACGTCAACGGAGATATGCATGCAGCCCTTGAGTCCAAACATTGCGCAGATTTGTTTCTGATCCCGATGCCACTTTCCATCTGGTGTCCTGGGGTGTGGCCGCTCATCGGCAAGCTCCTCGACATCTGCTGCACGGATCCCTAGGACGCCTCGCCGAATGGTACAGCCCGCTAATGACGCGCCGGCTGGGCACGGTCGTTGTCAACGTCGCCTCCTCCGCGGCCACGGCCCGGACTCGACGCCGAACACCATGCGGCTTCACGGGGGCGTGTTGCAGCCGCAGCTGCGGGACGATGTCCTCGGCATGCTCCGCGGCGTCCGGCCTGCCGGTGGAGGCCGGCCATCGTCGGCCACCCGGCGTTCGCATCCATGATGGACCTGCAATGGCGCGTCATGTTGTCGGCCGCCACTGGGGACATGGACGCACACGGCGTGGCCGCCAGCGAACAACGTACGCTACGTGTGTGCCCGTGGTGCGGCGCCCCTGCCAGTTCGAGATCCACACCGGTCTCTTCACCGTCGTCGTCATGCTCCCTGCTGCCAGTCCGCCCTCCTCCACCACTATCTCCTCGGCCAAGGGGCCGCTCCATCCATCGGTGCCTAGAAGGTAGCGACCATGCCATCTTTCTCCCTCTCAATCCTTCTTTGTGTATTTGGATTCTCACTGGGCACAGTCAAGTGGCAATTACAAGCACACAGAAGATGATGTTCTACTTGATGCACTCTGCAAAGAAAAGAAGGTTGATACAGTTCGCAACAAAAAAAAGGCCATTGGCCTGATATATGCACACGACATATGCAGTGATATCGTGGAGAATGTGTTGTTGTGCTGATGTTTTTAGCCACTGTGCATTTTTTAGCTATCGTGCAGAAACTATAATCTACTGTGCAGAATATTTCTTCAGAAAATGTGTTATTGTGCAGAATATTTCTTCAGAGGATGTTTTTTATTGTGCAAAATATATTTCTTCATAGAATGTGTTATTGTGCGGAAACTACATCAAAGTCGGCGGACGAGAAGATCCAGTGAACTCATCACTCATCTACATCGGATTGGGTGATAGTATGATGTATGTTTCCTGATCTGCGTGCTATCTCATTGTATTTCTGTCCAGAAACACATTTTGATACTTTAGAGGCATGTCGTATATCTCCAGCAAGATTCAGGTATTATGGATATTGTACATATTCAAGTCCTTCGAACAGTCTATTGTGTGTTGACGGTCGTATTCATCACTGACAAGATTCCACCCAGCCTCGATGATATGTGTGCTTCGATCTATTTTCATGTTATTTTCTTGGGCGCTTGACAAACACTTCACAAAATAAGTTCCTGTTAACATACACAACTATGTAAGATGCTTTTACCTGTCTGTAATGTACTTGCAGTCTGACGTACATTGCCAATTTGTATTGTTTGTAAGCACAAGCAAAAATTATGTGTATCAATCGTATATTTTTCTGAAGCTACTAAATTTGACATGTACTGAATTTTGCTACAAATATATATATATATATATATATATATATATATATATATATATATATATATATATATATAGGGAAAATCCATCCTACCACCCGGTGGTAGTTACCCCATATGTCTCATATACTACCATGTGGTACTATATATACTACTTTATCATTTTAAATATATTCATATACTATATATAAGATATTTCAAAGCAAGTTACATGAAAAAATTGCATATGAACCCATAGTTTTTGTTATATTTGTGAAATACATACATATTTGTACGTAAAAAAGAGTATACTCAAAACATGGTATATACTACCTAAAAATTAGTATATATACTACCTAATCATTGTTATATACTACATACTACACGTACATACTCTCAATTTTGACAGATACTACATACAACATACAAAATGCAAGTGGTGGTAACTACCACTGCTTGTAGAAAACATTTGTCCTATATATATATATATATATTCAAAATTCTATGAGATATATCCCTTCCATTTGTCCCCGACATAGAAACCAAATAGATTTTTTATCTGTAGTGCTTGTGGTTGTAAGCTACCCTGTGTTTCAAGACTACTTTGTTCTTTCTAATAGCTATCCGGATGTTTCTCTTTGTAGGCGACTTATAGTCGATATATGATTATTTTAATGGATATCTGGAGTATCTTGCCAGAGCAAAGGGAGTGTTTTTATTTTAATAGATTTTAAGCCATAAAATTGGATTTGTTCCTGTCAATAGTTATGTCCACATGCATTTCCAAGCATTCACTATATGTTGTTATCAATTGATTCAGTTCTAATGCATTGCTTCCTCACTAAATCTATATTTGTTGTACTTCTTTTCTTATAAACTACTGTTCTCAAGTGGAGACATGATTATAAAGACCATCCCTGTTGTAATCTCAAATGGAATAAACATATGTCTACCTTCTGTTGGTGTACATAGAAATTTGTCTTCTCTTTTATTGGCATACTGTAGAATAGGCTACACCAAATTGTTTTGAATTTTGGTTGTATACATCAACTAGATGATTGTCATATCAATAATTGGCAACGTTGCTTTTATTTTGAAGAGTCAATTCATTTCCAAAGCTTGTGTTCAATGCTCATCTTAGAGTTAAGAAAACGTATTCAGGTTAGTCATGACTCTATTTACTTGATGGTTCTTGACAGTTGATATTACGACCTATCAAATTGATGGTGAAATAGTTCATCAGATTGACATCTTCAGCCATGGTACCAACATTATTCATAATTCTTCTTTTGTTTATGGTTTGAACTATTATTGCTTAGTTTTATTGCAGAGTGGCCATTATTCACCGCAACATGTGGTTGCCTTTATGGATGGGGAAGAATGCAACTCGGCTTGGTACCACACACAACACACAAGGAAGAAGCCGGCGCCGCGGCCGCGGCCTTCATGGCTGCCAGAGTTGATTGGGTGTGTGGAAGGCGAAGCTGCGGTCAATGTCGACGACATGGACGGCGAGCGGTTGGCCAAGTGGAGGAGGATGATCTTCGAGGTTGCAAGGCAGGACTGCATTATTTGCTTTTAGCTGCTCAACAAGACTCACCTCACCTCATGGCCATAGTAATACTACATACTTACATTTTGTGATTTTATTTCTCCTTGTTGAAGTGATGGATTTTCTGTGATGCCACTGAAGATTGCTTCACAATGGCAACACAACGTGGTATGTAGTATTGTCCCAGTTTTTTTCCTTCAATGGGTAAAATTCAGTCAATGCTAGCGCAACTTGAAACTCCAGTCAATTACAAAGTGCAAGTTTCAAATGATATACATATTTTCATGTATATTTTGTCATCTTTATAACCAAGGATCATCGGCCTACGACACCTTCATAAAAGTCAAAGGTCATGACAGCAATGTTTGTGTTCCTTAGATGCACAAGCTTATATCTTAGAACTTTGATGAATTATGTCATTAGATCAGCTTAGTTGGAAACCACTTATTTCCATTACCTCTATACACACACTTGCATATCAATTTTTACTTATTTTCCAGTGGCTACTGTAATGACCCATTCATAGGAACCAAATAGAAGGAAATAAGCTTGATATATTTTTTGATTAGAAATAATATAACTCATATTTAGTTAAAATTGGATACAATGATGACAAATCTTAGACAGAACATGCTATGAAGTTATGTCTGTGATATAGAACAAATAATGATAGTGATGTCTTTGATACAAGACAAACATCTATGTACCATGGTTAAATAGTGATAGTGATAGAGTTATTATATTTTATATGTATTTTAGTTGAGACGTGCGTTGCACGTGCACATTTACTAGTTGGTTCAAAAGAAAAAACACACACATTCAAGGGCATTCAGGTAGGTAGTGATGGTTAATTCCCGGACATTGCATGTCAGGCGAGATTATCGCACTAGGCA